TTTGAGCCTGCAGACAGGCTGATGGGCACAACTACAAAATGGCTGCAACAATAAGTAGAGCCAGCCACAAAATGTTAGGGAAGTCATGCATAACATACTCATTATTCAGTAAACTTCTGTTTGGAGTCACTAATGGGCTGGATAATAGTGAGCAAACAAACTTAATCCTGACAAGACAGGACATCTCTGGGTTAGCAAAAAGGCAGACCAGGGATTTCAGATTTCTCCTGTTTAGGATGGGGTTATACTCCCCTTTAAAAGCCAAGTTTGCATGTTGGGAATGTTATTCAACACAGCAATCACCTTAGAAAACCAGGTGGCTGCCGTGGTCCAGAGTACTTTTGCCCAGCTTGCCTGGTGCATCAGCTGTTTCAGATGTAGCTACAGTGATCCATGCCTAAGTTACATCTAGACTGAACTACTGTAATGTGCTCTACTTGGGACTACCCTTGAAGAGTGTTTGTTCTGTAATAGCTGCAGCTTCCACTGTGGCTAGACTGCATGTGACCCTGATATTACAGCAATTACACTGGCTACCGATCCACTCCCAAGCCGAATTCAAGGTGTTGGCTTTGATCTTTAAAGCCCTACATGGCTTAGGACCATGGTATCTGAAGAACCATCATCTCCCATATGATCCTGCCCAGGACCTAAATTATAGGGAGAGGACCTTCTGACTGTCCCATCAATCAAAGAAGCCTGTTTGGTGGGCACATGAGGGCCTTTTCAGTGGCAGCCTGACGATTATGGAATAACCTCTCCAAGGAGGTGCGCCTGGCTTCCGATCTTTGGGAGGCAGCTGAAGATGCCAGGGTCCGGCATACCTGAGGGACCGCCTTTCCCCACACAGGCCCCAAAGAGTACTTTGGTCGGGGTCACAACACCGTCTAGTGACCCTGGGCCCCAAGGAGGCCAGGCTTGCTGCCACAAGGGATAGGTCCTTTTCGGTGGCAACTCCTACCTGGTGGAATGAGCTCCTGGAGGAGATCAGGGCCCTGCGGGACCTGGTACAGTTCCACGGGGCCTGCAAGACGGAGCTCTTCCCCCAGGCTTTTGAGTAGGAGCCGCTGCCGCCACTACCACCACCATGCGACTGCAGGCCAGTTCCGCCATGTCAGGCTGACTGGCCAGCTGAAATATCGTGGCCCATGGCATCCCCCCCCCTTTTTGACCCCACTGGGATATGCAATAGGGAGTAAGTATTGTAGTCATTTATGTATCCTGTGAGATGTGCATTTTTGCCTAAACTGTTTTAACCGTTGACTTTTACTGCACTTGTGCCTTAATTGTTTTAACTTGTTGTATTTTTACTGCACTTTTGTGCCTGTGTAAGCCGCCCTGAGCCCGCGTGCGGGGAGGGCAGGGTACAAATGAAATAAAACAAATAAATAAATAAATTTGTTTTGGACTGCATTTGATTCAAGCAGTCCTAAATTGTGATTTTAAAAACTGGTTTTATGTTTTAATATAATCTATTTTATGTATTTTATTAATATTGTTAAGTCCCCTTGAGCTCTGTAAGGAAGGAAGGTAGCGAATAAATATTTTTAATAAACAAACAAAACATTTCAGGCAGTTGTTTACAGGGTGTCTTTAAAAATGAACATGTTCTTTAAGAAATATTTTCTTAAATACAAAGAGGGAAGATCTTGTGCAATGGTAGCAACTACTGCCAAAGCAATTTTTTTAAAAAATCTGTGCAGCCAATCATACGTTCAGTGGCCCTGCAGAAGCCCTGCTGGGGAAAAGCCCCACCTGGCCTCAACTACTTTCTAAACATACTTGTTGGGCACCTGGAAAGGTGTCCCTGGTTGCCATGGTGTCCACAAGCATCATGTTAGGGACCTCTGGCATCGTGGTTGGAGTGTCAAACTAGGATTTGGCAGACCCAGGTTGAAATCCTTAGCCCGGTATGGGAAATCACAGTATGACCTTGGGCCAGTCTTTCTCTCAGCCTAACTCACCTCTCTGGGTGGTGGTTGTAAGAATAAATAGATATTGTAAGCTGGTTTGGGTCCATTAGAGAAAAAAGCACGGTATAAATAAAAATAAGAAATCTTAAGACACAAGCCCCTTTAGATTTTATAACTTGAACACCATCTCCTACAAAATGTTGTCATTGTGCCACACCCAGCAATTGGTCCTTGTGGTAAGACAGGCCTTCTGCACCGCAGGAAATGCCTCCAGCTTCTAATCCCCCAGCAAGGCTTGTTGTTCAGTCGCACAGTCGAGTCCGACTCTTCGCGACCCCATGGACCAGATCACGCCAGGCCCTCCTGTCTTCCGCCATCCTCTGAAGTTTGCTCAACTTCATGTTTGTTGCATCTATGACAGTAACCATCTCATCCTTTGCTGTCCCCGTCTTCTTTGACCTTCAATCTTTCCCGGCATCAGGGTCTTCTCCAGTGAGTGCTCCCTTCTAATTTCCTCTCCTTCTACTCCCCAGTCCTCTCTGGGTTTCACCACCACCAGAAAACTGGTTCCCAGAGTTTTTGACCAGCCCAAGGGTTTGCACTCAGGCTCCTCTCTCTTTTAGTCCCTTAGATCATAGTACCTCATCTGGCTCTCCCACTTTTGGAATAGTTACAAAGGGGACCAAACTCTCTTATGTGAGCTCTCTAGGGAAGTAGGACTTAACAGCTGCACCCTGGTTTTTCTATTCCTGGACTGGTAAACATGGACCAAACGGGGTGTGATGTGGTTCACAGAGATCAGATTGACTGCATTTAAAATGAAAAGTAGATTAAGAAGTAAAATAAACCACACATACTGTGTAAATACAACAGACCAAGCAAGGATAAAAGACCTGTGAATAAATTCATATTCTATACCCCTGGCATGTACATATCTCCTAAAACTGTAACAAGAGATAAACTGTCTAAGTCTGTAAGATGCAATCATTTAGGCTCATTTGTTGCCTTGGTGTCACTATTCAGGGATCATCCTTTGCTTTCTCAGGAACATGTGCTCATGTTGAGCTAAGATGGAATCTCCCCCTCTTCCTGAATGTGTATAAAATGGCCACTTCTTCAACAAGCTCAGAAGTTTTTTCTGCACCCCCCAACCCTGCAGAAGGGCACTTTGACTCTCAAAAGCTTACACACCCTGAAACTCTTATTGGTCTCTAGGGTGCTACTGGACTGACTGCAGCCCAACATGGCCACCCTTGGAAACAGTGTTCTCCTCCTGTTTGCCAGAAGTTCTACTCTTACCTTGGCTTCCCGAGTGTCTACAGCTCAGGTGATTCAGGCTGCTCACTGTCCTCCTCTGGCCAAGTCATCTGCATTTCTATGGCTTTGCATTATCCCCACTTCTTATGTTTAGAAAATATACATGAATTATCCCCACTTCTTTCTAAGCTTTCCACCAACTAATCTGAGCCTCCACAGAATGCAAAGCCAAGAATTATCCTTCAAGGCTGCAAACGTCGGCACTAAACCCTGGGGTGGAAGGCCTTTCACCACTGTTAGCAGTCAGACCCCTCCTCTTGCAAAGAGACAGTTTATAGCTTAAAGAGGCAGTAACACCCTTCTACAAATATCTCAAAAATTATAGTGCATGGCACTGCCTGGCCTAAAATGGAACAAAATGGATGCCAGCCAGGTAAGAGCCTGAGAAAATATTTTGGTAGGTTAGTCAGAGCAGCTGACTGGCTAATGGCCCTGGGGGGCTGGGGTGACACCCCCTCACAAATGTGCTGTGCCCCCCCCCCTCGGAGGCGGATGGAGCTCTGAGGCTGGTTCCAGGTTTGCCACTCGGTCGCTGCCTGAGCCCAGCAGCATAAAGGCATGGCAAGTGGGCGGCAGCTCTGGCATGACTCAGGCAAGGGAGTCTCCCTCCTTCACCAGGGAGCCGCTGAGGCAAGGCAACATCCCCCTCTCTGTGTCCCTGGAGCCCACCATTGGGGGGGGGGGTGTCCCATCCAATGCCAGCCAGGCCAGCAGAGAGCAGTGGCTGGTGGGCGTCACCCCCTCCGCCTTCTATGCCTCAACTGGGAGATGCCTGAGAGGTGGCCGTGGATGAGGCGCGTGCACATGCACCAAGAAGGGACATAGTGTTGTGCCTTTTCTGCTGTTTCAGGCAGATTGGGGTGGGAAGGAGGAGGAGGGATAGGAACCCCAATGTGCTTGAATGTACTAGGCAGCCCCTCCCCCTTCCTCCACTGTGCACGCACTTCCTCCCCTCACTGTTGGGTACCTCCATTCTTTTTTCTTCCCCCATCCCTTCTCCTTCCAGTGCCCCCCCCCCCCGAAAATCATCTAGCTACAGGTCTGAATGGCTCCCTTCACGCCCCAGAGATATGCATAACTGTAGGACAATGGGTCTCCCAAAACCTATTGACTCACCCTTGGACTAAATCTCATCAAGTCCAAACCTTACATCCTCTGCACCCACTAACCCTAATTAAGCGACACTTAGTCAACTCTTAGTTCTATTCGCCAAACCCATTAGTTTCCCATCTGAATTCTGCAGGGTTATCAAGCTCCTTTCACACTATTTGCATAACTCAGAAAAATCCATAAAGTTATTGTTTGGGGGGGGGGGGCGCATCACATCAGCTTGACATTGAGGGCCCATTTTGCCCTATATCAAGAGCACCTAGCCACCAATGCAGTGTGTGTGAGAGACAAGAAGTACTAAAAGAGCATGAACAACTTGCTATATTCTCTTTAAAAGGCCCAGATGAGGAAGCATCTGACCCCCTATGCTAGACAGCACAGGATGGGAATTGGGAAATGGAGCAAACCTTTTGATCTGAGGCTATGGGGTGAGCAAGGGCCAGACAGAGAATGCAGCTGGAGGGGAGCACGGATACTGGTGCGTGTCCCCCCCCCCCCCCCAGGGGACAGAAGAAACTTGCAGACTTCATTCAGCTTTTATGGCAACTGGATTACAGTAACTGTTGGGAAAGCAAAAAGTCTTGGGAAAGTGTCATACATGCTAAGGAGCCTTGCCAAAAAAAATCTGTCCAAGCACAGTAATTTGAAACCAGTAATATTTATTAAGAAAAAATAAGAAAGAAGGAGATATCCACAAAGAGGAAACACGGGGAGTTCCTGCACTGAATAGAAATTTAGCCATAGAACTATTTACCATCTGCTCACAGCCAGTTAGTAAGGAGCCGTTCAACAGGCAATAAGGCCACAATATCCAAAAGTACACAAATAGTTTTATTTATGCAGTCGGTTGATTTCTGAGTGCACACGTGATGCATACTTCTCAAGCTCCTTTACTTTCTGCATAATGAGCTTTTTCTAAAAAAGAACAGAGGAAAAAATCCTGTTAGAAAGATAAGACATTTTTCAGTTACAGGAAAAACTAAAGGGGGGGTTACTTTAGAAAAGGTAGACGAGACAATTAACTCAAAGCAGAAAAGAATTGGCAAGCAATATCATATCAGGCAGGATACAAAGAAGAGATTGGCCTGGTTACAACTCAATGTCCAAAACATCACCTGCAAACTAGGCAGACAGATCTATGATCACAAGACCATTTGTTACAAGACTTAGGACCAGGGTATCTGAAAGATCATATTCTCCCATAGACTCCTGCTGGGGAGGTAAGATCACAGGGAGAGGCTCTCCTGTCTGTTTCATCAATCAAAGAAGCATGTTTGGTGGGTACACAAGAAAGGACCCTTTAAGTGGCAGTCCCATGGTTCTGGAATAAGCTCCCAGAAGGTGCACCAGGCCCCCTCATTCTTGATATTGAAGAGGCAGCTGAAGACAGTTTTATTTATATTGGCATTTAATTAGTTTTTCTTCCTATTGGCAGTTTTAATTATTTTTTTAAAGTAGTAGTTTTACGAATTTAAGTATTTTATTATTTACATTGTAAGCCTCCCTAAGTTCATATACATTAGGGAAATGGCTAATAAATGTTTTAAATTTTAAAAATATTAATTTTAGTTACAATGGGTCAGGGGGATAAGATGACTGTCTAAAACCATACATACACTCAGGTTCTTCATTCTCTCTTTCTGTAGTTTTATGAGCTCATGCATTGTAAAGTCAGCCACATCCTTCTGGAGACCAAGAAATACGCAGCTGGGGGAGTGTTTTCGGTGCTCTTCCCTAGAAATCAGAAGGATAAACATTATCAGAGCAATGGACCTCAAAAGGTAAAGCAGACTTGTCTAGAAGTGACCTCCTGTACTAGTCCATTATACTACCGTTCTAATCTTTTTGTAAAAATACCTTCCTGAACATTTCTGTTTTGCACATTCTGTACAGTGACAGAAGTATGGAAGCCTTCCAGAGGATATCCGGACAATGAGCCCCCCATTTAGTGTCACTGCATCTGTTGGGGAAAGGCACTCTAAGTCCTGTTGTCAAGATGGGTTGTACCTATCCCATTTCACCCTACCTGGTTATGCAATTCTTCATCGAGCCCAAACTGGAAGGGGGAAAAAGGTGGCAGCTATCCTTCTCTGTGAGTTTTTTCTGTTTCACAGATTCCCACTACAAACTATTGCAGCAACTGACTGCATCTTCTTTATGTTAGGATCCAGGGACACACTGTGCACTCTACTTGTTTCCCAGCCACCTAATTTCCTAGTGGGTGCCTTGTCTGAGCTGGTGGAGGCAATAACAGTCTGTGATGGAGATGGCAGACTGATTGTTCTGAGGCTCTCAACATTCATGCCGAAGGCACTTTTGTGTAATGAAGCAAACAACAAACACCCAGTTCTGTTTAGCTGAAGGCCTCTTTATTAACAGTAACAGGGCAGGTAACTTGCCTATTGGAATAAGGTCAAAGAAGAAGGGGGTGGCAAAGGATGAGACGGTTAGACAGTGTTATCGATGCAACAAGCATGAAATTAAGCAAACTCCGGAGCATGACGGAAGACAGGAGGGCCTGGCGTGATGTGGTCCATGGGGTCGCAAAGAGCCGGACTCGACTGTGTGACTGAACAACAACAACAACAACAAACTTAAGCTGTTTCTAGAGCTCTAGGCCAGGACAACGTTCTGCAGATTCTTAGTAGGCTCTGCACTCCTGCAGGCTGCTAGCAGGGAGACTGAGAAGAGAAGCACTGAGGCCCTCCTACTCTCCTGCTTGTTGAGAGGTCTACTGAGATAGCCTCTTAAAGAGGCAGTACACAACAGGCATCTTGTTCTGGACCAGTTTAGGCTTTCATAGCCTTCTTTGCTACCATGGGTCTCACTGAAGTTGTGACAGGCCCAACACGTGACACAGGACCGGTGTTCCCTCTAAGCTGAGTTAGTGTGAGCTAGCTCACAGTTTTTTTAGCCTCCGGCTCACACATTTTTGTCTTAGCTCAGGAAGGATGGCTCCAGAGCGAACTGATTTATGCAGTAGCCAAATGGCTCGCTCACAACTTTAATGCCAGTAGGTCACAAAATAGAATTTTTGCTCACAAGACTCCACAGCTTAGAGGGATCATTGCACAGGACATCTCTTGGACTTAATTTATTGAACTGAGTCTTTGAGGAAGGTCTAATTTGGAACCTGGATGTTCAGCCTCTGTCATGGTCTGACTACCACTTCTTCAGGGTACAGGTAAATGTGGCACCAACCCTCTCTAAAATATGGCACCAACCTTCAGTTAAAATGGCCTGCCCATGGAGACTTACTGGATTCCAGAATGCTCTGGGAGATTTTAGGATCCCAGATTATAGTTCTGCTGAGACTACAATGGTTACTTGGAGTGGAAAGCTCCAGGAAGCTATTTGATAGAGTTGTCCCCCTTTCATCCTCCCACCATCAAGGTATACTCCAGCACCTTGGTTTACCTTGTAGCTGGATGACTTGAAGAGCACAGAGAGGGGGTGGAAAATGGAGAGTGGATCTGACATTGTGTGCTGTAGAGTTGATTGGAAAGCCTATGAGGCAGCAGTGACAGCAGCAAAGAAATCTTATTTTTCTACCACTGTGGCAGCTATTTCAGCTTGTCGTATTAGACACGCCAAGGGTTCCATGGATAAAGCAAAAAGAATAGGTGAAAGAGGACACCCCTGACGGGTGCCTCTTTGAAGGGTGGATTCTGTTGAAGATAGGCCATTGACCAAGAGTTGGGCCTTGGGGTGATCATATATAGCGCGCATTGATCTTCTGAAGATGGGACCGAAATTCATATGCTTAAGTAGAGATTCAAGGTAGTTAACTTCAAGAGAATCAAAAGCCTTCTCAATATCAATCGTTAAAATTAAGGAATTGAGATGTTTGGAGCGCCTACCGTAATGAATGAGATTTAAGGTTTTCCTGATGTTATCAGAAATGTCCCTTTCAGGCATAAATCCCGTTTGATCTTTGTGAATATAAAAAGTTATAATTTGTTTGAGACGGACCGCTAAGATAGATGTGAATAATTTATAATCTATATTAAGAAGGGAAATAGGCCTGTATGATTTCGGGTCCGATAGGTCTTTTTATTTTTTTGGTATTAAAATTATATTAGCTTTTTTCCAGGACTCCGGGAGTTGTCATAAAGCCAGAACCTCGTTGCAAGTGTCAGTGAGCAGTTTGCTGAGCAGCTGAGCAAACACTTTATAGTATTCCGATGTAAAGCCATCAGGTCCTGGTGACTTATTTAGTTTAAGAGATTTTATGGCACGCTCCATTTCCGCAATCTCAATAGGTCTTTCCAAAGCTTCTTGGTGATCAGGCATCAATTTATTCAAATGTGAAATAGAGTCCAAATTTTTTTGAGTGCTATGTGTGTCAGAACCCTTGGAGGCATAGGGAGACTTATAAAATGTTTCCAGGATTTTAATGACATCCTTGGGATCAGAGCAAATCTTACCTGCTTCCAAGTTAGATACCTTAGTTTTCTAGGGGATTGTATGATATTGGATTGATGGAAATGGAACTCTGATTTTTTGATGCTAAGAGCATCCAGAGCCTCTAATTGTTTCCTAGCATTTTGTAGAAGTTT